GAGACAAGTGTACTGGTGGTCTGCAGACATAGCAGCATTGCGTACTGCGTGCGTGGCTGCCAGACGCCAGTACCAGAGACAACGCCGGAGAAGACAGAAGGACGCAATCGCCGAGGCAAGCCTACACAGCACATACAAGGCCGCAAAATACGATCTAAGCCGCGCGATATGCGAAGCTAAGGACAAGGCACGAGAGGAGATGATAGAGACCCTGAACTTAGATCCTTGGGGTCGTCCCTATCTCATGGTGCGAGGGAAACTCCGGACGCAGGCATCGCCTCTAACACAGAGCCTCCAGCCCCAACTGGTTCGGGAAGTGGTGACGTCCCTCTTTCCCAGCGGAGTGGCGCACACGCCGCCTTACAGGATTCCGAACACCAGGAATGAAAATCCTGGCTCCGCTGGGGAAGAGGTCATTCCATCGGTCACCCCCGGCGAGTTTGGGGCTGGTATTCACCGGCTACGCGCCAAAAGGACGGCTCCGGGGCCTGATGGCATACCGGGCCGGGCCTGGGTGCTAGCCGCGGACGTATTCGAGGAGAGAGTGGTGGGGCTGATGAGCGATTGCCTCGCTCAAGGTCGTTTCCCACTGCTGTGGAAGAACGGCACCCTGGTCCTCCTTAAAAAGGAGGGCAGGCCTGTCGACTCCCCGGCAGCATACCGGCCGATAATTTTGCTCGACGAGGTGGCGAAGGTGTTCGAACGGATTATCGCCAACCGGCTTATTGGACACATGACGACGATCGGCCCGGACCTGGATGCCAAACAATTTGGCTTCAGGGCGGGCAGGTCGACCGTCCATGCGATAATGCGGGTGAAAGAGATAGCGGAGGAGGCAATTACCCAGGGCGACGTCGTTCTTGCGGTGTCCCTTGACATCGCAAACGCGTTTAACACCTTGCCCTGGAGTTGCATTACTGAGGCCCTCCGCTACCATCAAGTGCCGAACTATCTACAGCGCATTGTGACCGACTACCTTTCAGCTAGGTCGGTCTCCTACAGAAGCAGGGACGAGTGGACTCGTCATGAGGTGACATGTGGCGTTCCGCAGGGCTCAGTCCTCGGCCCCCTTCTTTGGAATGTGGGCTACGACTGGGTGCTGCGGGGCGCCAACATCAAAGGCGTGGAGGTCACCTGCTACGCAGACGACACTCTGGTGACGGCGCGAGGAAGAACGCACCGAGAGTGTGCGATACTCGCGACGGCCGGAGTGGCCCAAGTTGTGGGCAGGATACGAGCTCTGGGTCTCGAGGTGGCCCTGCACAAATCCGAGGCCCTTTATTTCCACGGACCTCGGAGCAAGCCACCTCCGGGAGCCCACATCATAGTCGGCGGAGTGAGTATTCCAGTCAACTCACATATGAAGTATCTAGGCCTCACGCTGGATGGTCGGTGGACATTCGAGGGCCACTTCCGCCAGCTAGGCCCCAAGCTGCTGCGTACGGCCGCCGCACTCGGCAGTTTACTGCCCAATGTTGGCGGCCCCAAAGCGGCTTGTCGACGACTGTTCATGGGCGTCGTGAAATCGATGGCGCTTTACGGCGCCCCCGTATGGAGCGGCGCCCTGAACTCTCGGACGATCGACGTGCTCCATCGGCCACAGCGAAGTATGGCAATAAGACTGATTCGAGGCTACCGCACAGTCTCCTATGACGCGGCCTGCACCCTGGCAGGTTCCCTGCCATGGGTGCTGGAAGCAGAGGTACTTGCGGCAGTCCACAAATGGCGTGACGAAAAAATCTTTTCAGACGGAGCTCCACCCTTAAGGGTGGAGGTCGAAGCTTTTAGGAAAGAAAGGCGAGAAGCAGCGGTGACCAGCTGGAAACGTCGCCTCTGCCAGACGCGGGCTGGAGCCAGGACAATCGGGGCAATCTGTCCAGTGTTCGTGGCATGGCTGAGGAGGAGACACGGGACGGTAACCTTCCGTCTGGCGCAGGTACTGTCGGGACATGGCTGTTTCGGCAGTTATCTGCGTCGGATTGGGAGGGAGCCGTCCGCAGCGTGCCACCACTGCGACGATTGCCCCGAGGACACTGCCCAGCACACGCTGGCGGAGTGCCCGGCGTGGGCTCAACAAAGAAGAGACCTTGTGGCCGCAGTGGGCGAAGACCTCTCGCTGCCGGCCACAGTAAAGGCGATGGTGGAATCGGATGGCGCCTGGAAGGCCGTCCAAA